GGCGGGCGCGGGGGCAGCGGAGCCCGGCTCGTGGTGGTCGCGGACGACGAGAGAAGAAAAGAAGAACTGCGAGGCGGGGCGGATCGAGCCAGATAGCCGTGCCGCCTCTAATCCCAACAGTGTGGCGTCCATTTGCCACGAGTGTGTGTGCTGCACCGAGTGCCGGCCCGAGGCTAATCAAGAGGAGGCCCGAGGGGTAATCATCAAGGGCCTAGCGCGGTGTGGCGCGGTGTGGCGCCCGGGCCCCCTGGCCACCGGGTCCACCTGCACCCGGCCCTATCGCACCGAACACTGTACATCTCTCATGACGCCGTCTCGTTACAGGTGCCACGAGGAAAACGCGTGGCCCTTTCTTGCCTAATTGCAAAAAGAGCTGGTTTCCACACTTCGCTACTGTATAGTGTAGTAGTACCAGGGTTGTTGATAAAACCCGCTCACTTTCTGCAGTTATGCTGTACCGCAATTCACACGTGCGGGGGGGTTGCCTACTCGCTGGGCGCGCGCAAGGCGCCCTGGACGGAGGCGATAGGCAAGCCCGTCTGCACTCGTGCGTGCGGTACGGTATAGCTTCAGAAGTGCGTGGAGGCAAGCTGGGGAAGAAGAATACCGGGTAGGACCTGTGCCCAACGGAAAAGGGGGGGGGGGGGCTAAGGTGTGTCGGTAGACAGACCAACTCGAAGTGCTGCTTCTCCTCACCTTAACTCGGCAGTCCGTTCACCCGCGAGCTCGTGGAATACAGTAAAGCGTACAGTGTGTGGTGTGTGTGTGGCCGTGGTGGCCCACCGCCGTCGTCGCGGCTCGCCCTGCGCGCTCTCTCTCTCTCATGTCCTGTCTGTGATGGCGACGGACGAGGAGAGGGGCGGTGGCGTAGCCGTAGTCTGACACTTTGGTGCGAAAGCGAAATGCGTAACCTCGTTTTCCGCGTCGATTCCCCGAGAGTGTCACCCACACCGCGCGACAGCAGCGGCGGCGGCGGTGCGCTGATGCGATGAGAGGTTGAGCCTCTCCTGAAGCCTCTGCCCCGCCCATAGGCTGGCTGCCCGGTGATGCCGCGGCGGCGGCGGCCCCGCCAGATGGGCTCTGCGGCTCTGCGGCCCGGGCAGAAGACGGAGCTGTTTACTCACCGCTCAAGCCCGTCGGGGGGTATGCCAAAGTGAGAAACAAACAGACCCACATCGCAGACGTTTTATAATAATAAACCCGTGCCGTGCGATAACCGCGCCGCCACGCCGCCACGCCGCCACCAGAGCTTCTTCGGGCCGGCGCGCCACAATTTTATCGATAAATCGTGCCGAAAGGTCGACCATCTACTTCGCGCCCCGCCGCGCCACGCCACGCCGCGCCGCCGTTCCCGCCGCAACATGTTGAATGGCCGGACGCCGCCGGACGGGGTGGCGTCGAGGAGCAGCAGACGCGTGTCCACTGTCGTCCACCGGTGGCCACCACCATCACCTGCCCCGGCCGCTGCAAGCCCACAAAGTATTCCGGAGTGCATGCCGGGCGCCCGGAAGTGTCAGAAAAAGGGCGCGGCTCGGCAATTAGCAAGAATGTATGCAGAAAATATTTTGGGGTGCGGGGCTTCATCAATTTTGCCGCTTTTTGACGGCGGCTGCAGCACCTGCTTAGCAGTGTGTGTGTGCGCGCGCGCGCGCTGCAAGCTGCAGTTACGCCCGGCGTCCAGGTGGACTCCTTCCCACCCTCGGCGTCGGCTCGGGCTGCGCAGGGTGGTGGGCCCGCGGGCCGCGGGGCAGAGAAAGGACGACGCCAGAGCCGCCCGCCGTGACTTCGATCTCCATCTCCAATGCCTAGCCTATGTCAAGGTACATAGACACACACGCACACATAAAGTATAAAGCCCAAGCAAAGATCACCAAGGTCCGTCCGGGTCGATTGTCGGGGCGGCTCCGGTCGGCCCCAACAGAGTATGTACACTGTATACAGTCTTTATCCTGCACTTTGCGCTGCCGACACGGCTGTGTGTATTCAGTATCAATATATGCGCGCGCCCGACATGGACACGCCCTTGTCCAAGCTTAACCTGCTTTATAAAGCTTCCGATGAACAGCGGGCCCCGGGGCGGGGCCTTCTGTTCGGCCGAGGCAGTTCCACTTCCTTTTCGCATCCACATGTTTCCACCGGCCATTACGGGTGATGTGCGTGACGAGGAGACAAGGGCGGAGACAGATGGGGTCACGTGCTCGCTCTCTCTCTCACACACACACACACAATCGCAAGCAAAGCACAAGCACGCGCGCGCGCACACACACGCGTGATGGCGAGGGGTGTATGTATGCTCCCCCGAAAACCATGAAGATTCAAAGGAAGGACGGCAAGGACTATGCAGGTCGTCCAATAATAACAACATGAATAACTAAACAGCTCTGCTCGCCATCCGGAGTAGCGGGGCGGGGCGGAGCGTGGCGAGGCACTGACGAGGTCGGGAGGAGTGGGGTGGGGCGGGCTGAGCACAGCGCTAAACAGGTCTATTATCGGGGCGGAGGTGTCTGATCGGCCTGCCTGCCGCGGATCGTCACATCACTCGGGGGCGCGGTCACTAGGCCCCGGGCGGGTCAGAGGGTCAGAGGTCAGCGGGCCCGGCCGAGACCCCGCACGGTCGCAGCGCCTCGCCGCGGGCGTGGCCATAGTCTTCCTATACTCCGGTGAGGCCACGGGCCGGGCGCCGAGGCTGCGCGGCCTGATAAAGAGCGGCCAGCCGGACGCTATATTTAGCACCCCCGGGTTATCTGCGGCCCGGTCCCATGACTTGCCCCCGCCCCGCTCCGCTCCGCCCCGCCCGGGGTCGGCTCACCAGATGGCCAGATGGCGGACTGTTCTCAATGAGGAACACATGAACCGAGCCCCGCCCCCGCCGCCCTCCCGCCCGCCTCCCCCGGTGGCGGCGCGGCTGCTGGGCGTCAAGAGAGAGAGAGAGACGCCTACCACCACCGGGGCCACCCCGCGAGTGTGCCCGCCCTGTCCTGGCGGGGCGGGGCGGCCGGCGCTGCGGTCGGGGCAAGGCGGGCGACAGAGACAGACGCGGGGGGCGGGCCGGCGGCGGGCCTCCTCAAGGCGTACTACCACCAGCCGGCGGATGTGCGGTAATCAGAGACCCGGATCACCTCGCCCTGATTCAGGGAACGTCAAGCGTTTGCGCGCCTCCGTGTTCGAGGAAAATGTTGCGCTGAAAAATCTGCTGGCCGCACGGAAGCTGCGCGGCGACCAGATCTGGTCTGGCGCCAGAGCGTTTGAATGGGTGCGGCCCTGGGTTCGATTGCCGACTTATCAGATTCTCGTTCCCCTTTGCCTCTGCAGCGGCGGCAGCGGCGGCAGTGCGCTCCCGGCAATGCATCTGGGCTCCTCAAAGCAAACAGCAGCCGCCCCGCCCCGCCCCGCCCCGCCACACGCTGCCGCGCCGCGCGCGGGCCGTAAATATAAAGAGGGAGGCGTGCGGCAGGGCGGGGCGGGGCACGGCGCGGAGCGGTCGGGTTGAGGGAGATACTCAGGATTTGCCCAGCTAATTGGCAACGCTCGGCCCGCACCCCGCCCCGCCCCACCTGGTCAGGTGCTCGGGGCCGACAGGACAAGGGTCCGCGCTGTGTGTTGTGCTGCAGGTGTTGTACTCCCGCTGCCTCCGCACGCCTCCGTTCTCGTCGGGCTCACATACTTTTATTTTTGTTCCTCTCGAATTTTGAGTGGCCCGTCCCCCCGTGAGTTGATACGGAATAAATTAGCCCGTCCCGAAGAAGTCCCGGGTGCAAAATATGCGGTTCCCCCCGTCCCCCGTAGCGCTGCGGGGCGCTCGTGCCTGTCGGGCTGCTCGGACGGGATGGTGTGTGTGGAGGCCATGGATCTCACCCCGAACCTCGCAATCACAGCCTCGTCAGCGTCGCTCCGCTTGCGTCCCGAAAGTCACCCGTCACCGTCAGAGCAGCAGGGTCATCATCGGGGAGCTCCCAACAGATACTCCCGGGAGCCGGGGCCAGTCCGTGAGAGGTGCCTTCAGCCCAGAAAATTTTCCCGAGAACGTCAACTCCCGCAGAAGGTATCCGATGACCCGGCAGGCGTTGTTGCCGCCGCCGCGATGGGCGGCGCCAGCAAGAGATGCGCGCGGCGCGTTTCAGCCTAGAGGTGAGGGGAGATGGGGCGGCGGAGCGGGGGGCTCCTCTGGCTACCGCGGCGGACCCCGCGAGAAGCAAACAACAGTAAAGTGACTGTAAAACCAACAACTTGTTGCCTGCGGTGTCTTCCTGTACGTCTGCACGCGCGCGGAGCGCAGGCAGAAGCACATATGCGAGCGTGTTCACGTGTGTAACTTGTCTCTGTCCGCCTCTCTCACTCTCAGTTATACGTACAGTACATACAAACACACACACAAGCGCGCGCGCGTTTCTCGGCGTGACCGACGTATTCTTGCCGGCGCGTTGGTGTGTAAGCATCCGAGCATCAGCACCTCAGCCACCTCAGCACCGGCACCCACGGTGCCGAGGGGAGAGACACCCCGCCGCCCCGCCGTGCTCCACCCCGTCCACTCCCTCGCAGCCGGCCGGCGGCGGCCTTGTCGACTTCCCTCCACCTGGGCAGGGCACGCGCCTCACCACCCGGTAGACCTGACCCCGCCACCGCCGCGCCCGTGACCCCACCCTCGCCCGTGCAACAGGCTGCCGCGGGGGCGCGAAAGCTCCCGCCGCGCCGTTTGCCCCCGCCCCGCGCGCCCGTGGCCCGTCCTCCCACCGAGGATAGCACCTCGCCGATGGCATGACGGCGGGGGGCGCGGGTGGCCGCTGTTGGCAGCGGCGTTATTCTGCCAGGTGTCCCGGTGCGCCAGGGCAGGCGGGGCGTGGTGGGGCGCGGGGGGCCGTTGGGAGCACACACCTGCTCGCACCTGCCCCGGGGCGGGGCGAGGCGGGGCG